ATCTGACTCGTAGAGCATCATCATCATCATTTCATACATCAGGCAATGTTAATGCTAATGCTAATGCTACTGCTGGCAATAATCTTCTTTCGATACCAATTGCAACAGTACCAGCTGCTTCAGAAAAATTTCGTGTTCAATTAAACGTAGCTGGTTTCAATCCAGATACAATCAAAACACGTGTTGAAGATCGAAGAGTTATTGTCGAAGGTAAACATGAAGAACGACAAACTAATGGAGATTTTAGTGTTCGAGAAATTCGAAAATCATATGATCTTCCTGAACATGCTGGTAAGTAAAATATCATCTGATAAATAAATATAAAAATATATTTTGTTCGAATAGATTCTGCGAATTTGGCATCATTTGTTACACCAAATAATATGCTTGTCGTAGAGGTGCCTATCAATGCTCCACAATTGCAACGTCGTGCATCTCAAACAATTGCTGATAGTCAAGCACTTTCTTTATTTGGTCAATTTCGTGATCCAATTTTTGATTATCCAGGTTTTATTGCTTCAGCAGATTTTCGTCCTCGTCTTATTGATATAGGTAATGGACAAAAGAGTATTAAAATGGCATTAGCTGTTAAAAATTATCAACCTGAACAAATCAGAGTTTCTGTTAAAAATAATCAATTACTTGTACAAGCTGAGCATAATTATAATGATAATAATCGTTCGGAAAGATCATTCTTAACTAAATCAATTTCATTACCACCCGGTACACAAGTTGATCAATTAAAATCATTTTTAAATGGTGAAGGACAATTAGAAATCGAAGCACCTTTTATTGAACCTACACAAATGCGTTCAATTGAAGTTCAACATTAAAGAAAACAGTAACAGACAAATCTCTTTTTTTTTGTATTTTTTTCCATTTTTTTTTCTAATGAATAAAGTCGAGATACTTTAAACCTGCAAATCCTGCGTATAACTATTTGTACCACTATTATTTAGAGGAAAGTACTTTTACAAAATGGTATTTTTTTACTCTTCTTTCATCGATTCTTCTCTTGTGAATGTACAATGCTAGAAAAAACTTTCGAGGAAACACCTTCTGAGTCAAGATATATACTGTTTACTGTTAACAGTCATAAATACGTATATACTTACTATTTCTCAGTTCAATCAGTCTAAATAATCTAAAACACATAAAAATAAAATAATCCTCAACTTTTATACTATGTTTGAAGGGCAACTTTGCAGTGAAGTACACTATTAACGTTTGTCTGAATGCATCAACTTCAACAGCTGAATCTAGATGTTTTCAATAAAAACTCATGATTTAAAGCAAGAGCTGCTATATCATCGTATGCCTAATGTGAATATGCCAACCTTAAGGCTGTACCAAGAACATGTTCAACTTTTTCTTTTGTTTATCAGTAAAATAAAGAAAATAAGAAAGAGCCAAGTAAATTGAGAAGGGAAAAAGTTAGGAATAGTTTTCTTGTTAATTTAATTTAATTTTTTGGAATTACATGAAATATTTTTTTCAGACTACAGAAAGACTATTTTACCTTTTTTAATCTATCGTATATATCTTTTCATTTATTTCTAATTAATAATAAAGCACTAGTTGATTGATTTAATCAGATTATACCTTGACAATATATATATCGTACCTTTTTTTAACTTCTTCGTCATCATTCGAGGGGTTATTCAAGAATATTATAATAATTGACTTAACTTTAAGGATCAAAGGAAGTTGTCTAAGTAGTACAAATATTCTAATAATATAAATCATAGATTTCCATCAAAATGTTGTTGTAAATAGTATAGAACATGAGAGTATTTATAAAAATGAGAAGAGGAAAGAAATTAACCAATTCATGTCTGTACAGTAAGATATAATTTGAAGAAAAATGATGATCTGATGTCTCTTTTTTCCGTTTGGAAATAACATTTTCAATACGATCGAGGGATATAGCAAATGAATATCTTATTTATTCACTGATATCTTTTTTATGTAAACGAATGATTACACATTTAGTATAATGACTGTTCATTTCGATAAGCTTTATTCAACATTCGCTAGGAGCTCCTAGAGAAGAGACCGCTCTTAGCAACATATGTGGCCAACAAGCGAATATTAATAGGACTCATTGTTATGTTTTATTCAAAAAGTACATTATATATATATTACATGATGTAGCTTGCATATTTTTACAATTAGTAGGAAGCAACTTATTATACAGATGCATATTTTGTTTTCAAAATCGATAGAATTATGAGTGATTATACATTGATTTTTCAAAAATAATAACTGTTTGATAAACGATTGTATGTTTTTCTTATTTCATCAATTAATCCGTTGTATATTGTTGCTCACAAAACCGTACATGTAGAAGTACTATTTTAGTATGAAACTCGTAATGTACAAAATAATTAAGAGTGCAATGTTAATTTTAGTAGCATTTACAAGTTTTATAATTATTTGTATTTTCACTCGATTTATACCATAAATATCAATATTTTGATTTCTTGTAATATATTCGTATCAAAACAAAAGAATGTTTCATACTACATCTCATCAAGGCAAAACAATGTGTTACAATCAGAACAGAAAGTTTTTATTCTTTTTTTTTGTTTGCTAGTTTTCTTGTAACAGCCAGCATAGATGTTGTGTGCTCTGCGCATGATACATTATCTTCTCTCTCTCATGCTTGTTTATTTTCATCTACACTCCTTTCACTTGTACTTTTTGCTCTACTTCCATATTTTGTTGTTCTGAGTCAGAGAAAATGTACTGGAATGCATGAGAGAAGGCGTTGGCAGCGATAGATATATATTATTCTGTCCTGTGTGTTTGGTATGTCATCGTTCTTTTCATATGGATAAGTGTTCGGTTATCGAGTAAACTAACATCTTGCAACAATTTCTTCAGACTTCGCGTGCAGATCCTTCCATTTCTCGAATGGCGTAACAAGCAGTAAAGATCGTATAAGTCTTTTACGAAACTGTAGCATGCTTATATAAGTGAACCTATTTTAAACTTGTAAATTTCATTCATCATCAGTAACTTCTTTTTCGGAGATTGATGATTCAGATCGCATTCTAGCAAAATCATCATCAAAAGAACGAACATCATTCTGTGTGTTCCTGTTATCTTCTGTGTTGGTTTCTTTAGACGATATGTAAATCAAATCAAAACTATAGTTGTTTCCATATAACTGTGAGGAAAGAATGCAAAAGAAAAAAAATCGAAATTCGTTTCGTTATCTCGTTCCTACTGCGTCATATATAGAAGAAAAAGAAAAACAAACGTCCATAATTATTCAGTTCTACATGAAAGAGAATCGTACACATAATGATACAATAAGAAAAAGAGAAGGATGTTTGTTTGCAGTCGAATGATGAGCGCACAGAAAAATGAATTTTTGATAGATACTTCCTAGAAAAATCGAATCGATTCGAAAGGGTTAGTATTATTTAATTAATCCGATTTATAATATGATTTATTGTTTGATGATATAATATTGTAGATAAAATGATTCAAATGTCGAGCGATAATTCGGAAAAGGGAGGCAAATCAAACAAAAATCGTGGTGGAAAAAAGCGGAATCTTTCTATGATTTGTTTGACATTTCTTTGTGCTTACACATCATTTAATGCGGTTGCTAATTTACAATCAAGTATCAACATAGATAAAAATGTTGGATTATATTCGTTAGCAATACTTTCTGGTGGCTCAATATTGTCTAGTATTCTATTTACTACTCCATTGATCTATATTTTGGGATATAAATGGACGATTGTCGCTGGACAAATCGGTATACTTATCTATATTGCTGCTAATATGTATCCAAAAGCGATACTTTTATATCCGGGTAAATACATTTCAAATCGATTTATACTTAGAAATGTTTGTATCTAGTGGCAGCAATCAGTGGTATATTTTGTTCAGCAATGTGGACAACACAAAGCGCCTATATTACTGTGCTTGGTGTTGATGAGAATCGACATGATAATTCTGATATTCAAGTGAACAAATATTTTGGAATTTTCTATTCAGTATTTGAAACTGGTAATATTTTTGTATGAATTTATAATAAAATATTTCTTTATTGAATTATTTTATATTAGCTCAAATTTGGGGCAATTTAATAACGTATTTTATCTTACGAAATGTTCATAGAGAATCAAGATCTGATTTTTCACAATGTGGAGCAAATTTTGTATCGAATACAAGTGAGACAAAAAATGATGAAAGTACTATTTCACCTATGACAGTATATAGAAATAAAATACGAGTGCATAAATATTAATAAACTCTATTTTGTATAGACTCATATTTTGTATAGTGTGTTTGTTGGTATTATTTGTATATCCATCGTATTCGTTATTATTTTTCTTGATCAAAAACGTAAACTGAAGGGTAATTTCAGATATATATTATATATTATTTGATTGTTTGTATCATTATAGGTGATGATTCGAAAGGAGTAATACATCGATCAATAGATTATTCATTATTAACATTGAAACAATTTAAAAAACTAGATCATTGGTTATTAATTCCAATAGTTTTCTGGATTAATTCATGGGAAGCGTTCATTTTTGGAATTTACACAAAGGTATTACATTGTTGATAATGAGAACTATTTTTTCAATTGAGTTTTATGATAGAGTTTTATTACATGTACTATTGGTGTTCAATATATTGGTATAAGAATCAATTTTGCTGATCAAAATAATCATGATTATTTATTTGTTAGGTATTGTTATGGCTTCATATGGTATTACAGCTTCTATTGTCTGTATTATTGTTGGTTATGTTGCTAAAATAAAGTACAGTCGTCCAGTATGTTTGTTAAGTGCAACATCTGTGTCTATTATGATATTAATGATAATGCTTTTATGGAAACCGGTTCCTTCTCAAACATACATGCTGTACGTTCTTGCATGTATAGCAGGTATTACAGCAGTAGTTGCCAAGCCACTTGTTTCAGGTTTGTTATCTTTTCTTAGAACATTAAATAGTCATTACAGAAATTAGAATGAATCAATTCTCAGATGCTGTATATCTGATCTAATTAACATTTTAACGGTTATTAGCAACATTCTAGAGTATTTGATACTTTTATTTGACATAATTCTCAAAAGAAAAGAAATATAAAAACAAATTACACATAACTTTAGTTCTTCGACTAGTCAATCAATAGAATAAGTGGTTCCATCAGTAGAAACGAAACATATAAATAAAAAAAACTTCTTTTTAATTTAGCTTTATACAGTCATTTATTTGCCGATACAAAAGAAATGGTTTTTTCCATATTTTCAATGATTCAAAATCTTGGATGTATCGTTGTGTATTTCTATTCACCAGTACTAATTGTTCGTGTATCAATTATCTTACAAATTATTTATACAAGCATGGCAATGATATGTTATATAACTATCGAAATTCGGCTAAGTCGAAAATAAACTACTAATGAAGCTGATGATGAATCATAATCAAAAGTACTACATCATTTAACACTCCGTTATAATAGTGAATATTGCAGGGAACTATAAACATGATTTCATCTTTGTTTTTGCTAATAAATTATTTTATTCTTCCCTCAGTGTATTATTACATTTTTTTTTATAAAACTAACTTGATCTCAACACGTCATGAGTATATAAAAACAACAGCAATACCTTCACCTGTGATATAGGTAAAAATATTTCTTTGCCTACGTATATGAATCTTAGTCAATGATTGTGCAATTTCAATTCTATTACTTTTCAACCTACAAACATTTTATTAAATAATAAAAGCTACAAAATGATGCTTCAACCTACTTCTGGTCGTAAAGGATTTGGTTTTGTTCAACATTCGACTGATCAAG